AAAGAAGAGTCAGCGGCACGAAAAGCACGTCCACATATATAGCGAGGGTTTAGATGAACGCATGCCAATGTTTATCACATTCAAATAGATCACTAAGCGTCTCTGATTATTGATTAGCCTGGTAATAATAACCCCAAAGGGGTACCTGATGCAATCTACTGAACCAGTTCTTTTAGTTAAAATTTTCTTGCTTTCATGTCAGGTCATGAGCTCACCAGTATTCACCTACTTCCACCAGCTACTTACCTTAGTTAACTTCGCCTACTGGACGTTTAGCTGGTGGCATGCGTAACACATGCTAAAGCCACCACAACATATTAGAGGCTAAGAACTTGTGTTAGAACGTAGTCACTATTGCCTAACTCCAACTCTGGCATCGCTTGTCCGATTATCCCACCAAATTTTTGCAATGCGCCGTAAGTCGTGCAGTTCGAAAACCAATTGGGTGCTTTTACTTTTTTTACTCGAAACGGGTCTGGCGTGGCACCATATCGTAGAACCAGCCGTACGGCTGCAGCATACACTCAGCTCTGCATTAAAAGTATCTTCATTTGACAAAAGGCAGATGAATCTTTCCTATCCACGTTCGTTGAAAGAAATGTAATTGCTTACCCCGTTAGAAGAAGATACAAGTGTGAACGAATCTAGACTTTTACCCATGCTTTACTCTTTAAAGGGGAAAACGCACGCCACAAATGCAATGGATACAATGCTGCTTCTCTGTACATCGACGTTGCCATCCTCGCACATGAAGAGTTGTTTATAAAATTGTGTCCATTTCAACGTTTGAACGCAAAATTTGAAAAAGGTAGCCTTCAAGTGATTAATGGAGGATTTAATTCAATTTCAAAGGTGAATTCGTCGTGTACATATTAAATGAAGTATGAACTGAAAAGCTAGGAAGCACTGGACAGCTGTTCCGGCAGTGCGATTCCATCAATCCAATTGGGGATCGAACCCGGGACCTCACAGACAGAACGCAGGCATGCTACCCACTCGACTGTTTAGTGCTTCCTAGCTTCATTTGCTTCATTTGCTATACACACGACGAATTCATCTTTCAAATTGAATCATCTACTGCATTACTCAATTGAAATAAGTAGTCAGGTTGTGAATGTTCCCAAGCGAGTCAAAACCCGGAGGCTAGTGCTGCCACGAACAGGGTGTGACTCGCGACGAGCTCGCAAAGATGAGTTGTGCCATATCTTGTTAATGGAAAATCAAAAACGGTCTGATCAGCTGCCCAGTGGCCGAGTGGGTAGCAGGCTTGCGTTCTGCCTGTGAGGTCCCGGGTTCGGTCCCCAGTCGGTCGGTGGATTCGCACTGTTGACGACACCCAATCAGATCGAAACTGCTGTCCAGTGCTTTCTATCTTTTCAGTTCACGATTGATTTGCTATATACGCGACGAATTCAGCTTTGGAAAAGGTACCCTTGTCTAATATCGCCATCCATTAATAACTCGGGTAAAAACGCCGTAGGCTCATATATGTATATCATATCTATCTGAGCATAGAATGTGATCCAAACAAATCATAGCAATAACAATCTTTATAACATAAATATGCCCATTATTTGCTCGTTAATGGAACACTTCCTGTTGTCTTAGGCAAAACAGCCGAATTTTCTTGGGGGCCCTAAGGATGAGGTAAAACGTCAAAGGTGTCCAATACGCTACGACGAATAATGAAGATAGGGACCCCTGCTGTAATCAAGATGTATTGTTCGCAGGCCTTTTATTGATTGGTTTACAATCAGAGATTTTTCGTCTTGTCACTGTAGCAGAAGCACACCTCCGAGTGAAGACAGTGGACAAGGCCTAGCAGCAGAGGTTTGAGGAAAGGTTACCCAGCGCCAACCCGAATGTAACTTTCGAAACCCGGCTCGAAAGTGTTTTGCGAATCTTATGGAATCACCTAGGGATTAACGCTCTATACCGTACACAACTTCATATCTTTCCATGACTCCCCCATCCCACCTTCAACCCCTCAACCTACCCCCTCTCCTGAGTTCTTCAAACGATCGTGCTAACAGGAGCATCTCAGATGGAAACTCCGCCGCTGTTCTCTTGTATTCTACGTTAACTTCCGTTCAATTCTCACCGAATCCTCCACCAGCTGAAGCCCTTTTTCGCCCTCGATACCCATTTATACTAGCCACATTTAATGTGAGCACTCTGATGCGTATAAGACAACAGGACGTTTTTAGCTCATACGCTCGAGACCCTAGCCATCGATGTGTGTTGTATCCAAGAGACTCGCATTCAAGACTCCAGCTCCATTATCCGATTGACGTCCCCATCAAACCCATCAGTGAAGTTTCACTTAATCCTCTCTGGGAACCTTGAGGCTGCGGCCTCCGGTCTTGATGGCATTGGCGTGACGCTCAATGAGAGAGCTGAAGCCGCACTCCTGGACTGGTTCCCAGTCGACAGTAGGTTGTGTGCAGTGAAAGTTCGTACAAAGTAAACAGCCGTCGCCTCCGATAGACCAAACCTGTTTGTCGTGTCAGCTTACGCCCTAACAGACTGCAACCCAGATGCAGTCAAAGATGAATTTTACCATAGCATACACGATTTCTTGCTTAAAGTGAGTCGGGTTGATATAGTTATTTAGCAGGAGATGTGAATGCTAGAGTATGCCGAATGACTGCGAGTGAGACACTTCGGGGTTGTCCTTTCGGATTAGATTTCTGTTTCTCAGAAAACGGGGAATGGCTGTTGGCTCTGTGTTCCGATCACCGCCTATTACTCGCCAGTGCGAACTTCCGGCGTTCCAACTGCCGGTACGCCACCTGTGGTCCGCGCTCTTCGAAACAGAGACGGACGCAGATCGACTATATCGCTATGAGCCACAAATGGTGAGGTTGTATACAAGACTGTCGATCATACTCTAGCACTTCCCTCGAATCTGACCACACATTAGCTTGCGCCAAGCTGTCCGCGTGCTTCGGTGAGCGTCCCAAACGCACGACACAATGACAGTTAGACTGTGATGAGTTGTCGCAACCGGCACGCCTAATTGTCTTTCAGAATGTATTAGCTGAAAAGCTAGAACCAACCCTACCCGATGACGTTAACCAGTATTGGTCGCTCATCAAGAATGCTCTGCCTTCTGCTGACTTAGTTGTGGTCTGACGCGTCGTGCCGCGACACTCTGAATATCTGCGGGGTCTCTACACCTTCTCGATGTACGCCGATCGATTCCGACCGGCAGCGAGCATAACAAAATACAACACGCAACGAGTCATAACCTCAACGCAAGCTTACGCAGAGACCGCGAGATCTGATGGACTCAACGCGCATCAGAGATGGAGCGTGCTGCCGCCTTGGGTAATTTCCGTAAGCTGTTTAATCCAATCCAAGGCACCGATAGGGAAGCCTTAGGTGTAAGCGAAATGATCTGCAAACCTGACGGTTCACAATCGACAGCGACGTCTTGAACGCTGGGCGGAGCTTTTCAAGGTACAGGTTAGCTGACCACCAACATCGGCGTTTCATACAGCTATTCCGGCACACGTCCCATGGTCTGTCACAAAAGACCCACCTTCTGAGGCATAAATCCGTAAGGAGACCCAAGCCTTGGGACGTCACAAAGCGCCGGGCTCCGATGGCCTTCCCCCTATTCTATTTAAAGTTGGGGGAATAAAGCTTGTTACAGAACTACAAGTTCTGTTCTCTAAAGTTTGGAACACTGAGCAAGTCCTCTCCTCGTGGGGGGGCATCGATTGTCGTCCTCATCTTCGAAAAGGGCCCACGCAGTGAATGCACCAATCATAGGGTATAAGCCTAATCCCGATAGCGTCAAAGCTGTTGGCGTCAGTCATTCTCCGCCGATTGTACATGATGCGTGGATGCATCTATCAAATCTTCATCCTCCGATAGCTGCTAGAGCACCGTCATACCTATCAAAAACCAACGATCATTGTATTCTTAGACATACCGGGGACATCCGACTCTGTCGATAGGACCGTACTATGAAACTGTTCGTTGAGTAATGGAGTACATGAGAAGTATGTGTCGATCCTCAAAGAGTTGTATCGTCACCCCTCAGGTTTGGTTAGGGCCTATGGCCAACTTTCACTTCTCTTCGCCGTCTCCAGTGGATTTAGACAAGGTTATCCTATATCCCAATTCCTTTTTAACTTTGTCATGGATAATGTTCTACAGAATGCTTCATCCGGTTTAGAAAACGGTGGAGTAGAACTTCTCCCAGGGAACAGAGTCGTTGACTCAGAACATGCCGATGACATCGCCTTGGTGGGTGGTAACACACAGGCATCCCAAGACGCTTTGAACCGCTTGGCGACCGAGGTATCCAGGTATGATATGTGCTTTGCACCTTCCAAGTGAAAGGTGCTTATTCAAGGCGGGCAGGAGTCTGTGACTGCACTCTCCCTCTGTGGTGATCAGTTAGAAGTAGTTGAGAACTTTAGGTACCTCTGGAGCTTGATCGCAGCTGATGATGGTGTTGAGGAGATCACATCACGAATAGCGGAAGCTAGAGCAGCTATGGCCAACCTGCGACACCTGTGGCTCCGCCATGACATCCGACTGTCCATTGAGGGAAGAGTGTACATTACCGCGGTTCTTACCGTTCTGCTTTACGGTTGCGAGACCTGGCCTCTCCGAGCGGAGGATGCTAATCGACTTTCCGTATTCGACCACCAATGTTTCCAAATCATTAGTCGTGTCTGATGGGAACATCGGGTGGGCAGTGATTTGGTTCGTCGTGGTGTGTTGGGTGTGGATAGTCGTTCTCTAACAGAAGTAATCGCTCTACACCGCCTCCGATGGCCTGGTCATGTTTCGCGTATGCTTGCCTATCGACTACTTTTTCGTGCTCTCTTTGCACATGTCGGGCAAGGCTGGAAGAAGCGCCGCTGTGGTCAGATCATGACAAAGCGTAGAAGTATGAAGAAGCTGGCTTCGGTTGGTGCAGCCCGCCTCCAGGTTGGGGCCCAAGGGATGAGGATTGTCGTTGATGAGAGGCGCTGAGATACATGGCCCGAATTAGAGGTCAGTGCTGTACGGTTTGCCTGTCAAATTCCCGTACCCCATAAAAAACGATTAACTAACAAAAAAAATTCAAAAAAGTGTACAGTGAAACATAAAACTATTGTTATTCCATTTATTCATAATTTTCCACTTTAAAAGTTCCATCTTTTTCCCTATGTTCTGTATCCCATTCCCCCTCCGGTTAATATTGTTGTGGTTATGGTACCATGCTTGTGCGGAAACCTGCGTTATATATATATATATATGCATATATATATATATATGGGAAGTTACTCATCTCTGAGTATCACCCACGGCTGTTTATCTCCAATTATCTATTAAGATGTTTCAGCTTTATTGTTGAGATAAATTCGTATTTAAATCAACAAATTGTTCACAGAAGAACAGTACACAATGGCAATGATATATAGATAATCTATGAAGACATGCGCATAACCCATTCATAGCTGAATGGTTACTCCGAAAAAATATCTACACGGGACGCCGGTTTTATAGTGCGGTTGTTCACTAGGTTTAGACAGATTGAAAGATGTTGTTATCATCGGTAAAAGGCTTTCTGTTTTTCGCGAGCTAATTCGAACACGCTGAAGGCACGAAGAATTTGATTAGTTCGACATGTTCGGAATCGTCAAGTGCTCGTATCCGGTGAATTTTCTAGGATACCCAACCGTGGATGGAGGAGTTTTAAGCAAAGACATCTCAACTGGGCTGCCTCTAGAGTAAGCTATTTCACCTCTAAGCAAAAGCACAGGGAAATTGTTTGTCGCTGTCACTGGGTTTATCGGCTGTATTGCCTTTTATTCCTATTAAGTTGGATGTCAAATACAATAACTGAACAGTGCTTTCAGCCTCTTCAGTAATAAATGCGATCCAGTTTTATCACAGACCCACAGACGAAACACCAGAAGGACGTGATTCTCGTGTGCTAGTAAGCTTTAGTTTTATTTAGCTTACGGCTAATCCAACACAATAGTACCCGGATGTTAGTCCCTTGAGCATTATGTTTCGACGAGGAAACTGAAAAGTCTCGAGGATTAAATACAGCTGAATTTAGGTGCATGGAGTTGAAATTACTCAAATTCAACTATATGGATGGAGAAGATATACACGAACACCATCTTGCTTAGAATCCTCGGTCGTCGATTCGGTAAATGCTGTATATCCTAACCATAAGGCACAGAGTCCTCCGTCAATCATATCATCCGGTCGGTGGACTTTCTTCCTTCTTCAATCACCTTTGACCTCTACGTGTTCCGACTATCCGACTCTGTAAGAGAATCAGGTGCCCGGCTTTGGTAGCTTGATGTATCGGAAGATGGCAAGAATAAAGTGTGCTCTACATATTTTGACTGACCAACCTTGAAGTTTCCACTTCATGCACAATTCTCAGTTCATCCTGTCAAAGATACATTCGGAAAGCACTGGAGTTTCACCCTTCTTAGAGTTCATCAATAATGTAAATAAGAGGTTTGCTTTGTTGTATCTACTGGATGATATTATAATCTAAGTTGTTCGTCATTTGGAAGTCAGAACCGCTAGCATAGGATTAACTGCATCAGTATAACCAGATTAATCATCAATTCGAAGTACATTTATCAGTTTTCAGTGCGATTTGAACTTAGATTTCTTCCACATTTTTGTTTCTTTCGCGTGGGACGAACGTGCAACCAGTTGCCATAGGGGTTACCGATAATGTGTGACGGTTGGAAATTTTGTCATTCGTCAAAAGGCATTAACATGTGCGTCACTGACTTTATTGATTAGGTCGGGTTCTGCTTTATATGAAACAAACACATATTTCGTGAACATGACTATAAACTATATGGTAAAACTGGAGAAAAAACACTTATATGACACCGTTAAGCATTCCTAAAGAAAAGCTCTGTAAGAATCATTGCTTGACCTCTTCCAGAACAAACTTTCGTTTTTACGTGGAGTGGTATTCTAATTAGTCATGGATTACTTTTATGGTATAGTGTAATCGACATAAATCATAAGAAAATGAGTGTATAACTGTTGGGACGAATATCAATGCCATTCGTCCCAGGATAAACCCGGATGCATACTTGCTAATTTTGTGGACAAAATCGAACAACTTTACAACACATTCGACTCAAATAAGGGTCATGACTTATGAATACTAATCTCGCGGAGATGATTCAATAATATGGCGTCGTACGGCAATATTCACTCTCTCCGACCGTCTGGTCCGTGGCCTATGGCCGGTCGAACATTGCTCACTGTGTATTTCATTGGTATATTCGTTTTCTTGCATTGATCAATGTTATTTTCAGTCACACATATAAGAAGCAGAGTAAAACGTGTAAATTGACTCGTGACTTGTGATTTGTGCTCAACGCCATTGAAATCCCGTGTTGCTGAAACCGTATTTTCTCTCGCGTGTTTTTGGGAGGCCTGAGAGATCGATTACCGACCGTGCGTCCTGTGTTTGCCTAGGTAACTTCTGCTCCTAGAACTGTCATCCGCTCACGGACTTAGTGCTAGTCCGCTGTTCCCGTATGCTACTATTGTTACTGTGCTATATTTTGTGTTCTTTGCACTTGTGGTGTTCTCCTGTGACATGGTGCTGTGCAACCTAATAGTAGGCAACGGGTTTAAGTGGCGCAAAACATAACAATTTGGCGACATAACAATAACTGATAAAATCATTTCCCGAGATAACAAAGATTGGTAAAATGCTCCTCCTTTTCTTGATTACACTTTGATTTTAAAACATAGAGTAGTAACAAAATGCAAAAGGCACGGTTTCAATGAATTCTCGGTGCTAGCCGAGAAAATTACAGTGAGCAAAAATGATAATCAGTTGACCATCTGGTACTTTCTGAGTTGGGAAAGCATGAGTACCCTCGTCCTTCTCAATACCTGACGAGTGAAACTGGCATCTTTGTTAACAGGGAAAAGAAAAATGGAACTGAAATCCGGGAAAGTATTGTGTAACTGCTTCAACTTGATCAAAAGTATACGCACAGTTGATTTCTTTTCAGTCGTACTCAATCCCAATTAGGATATTCTACTTAGTTGTTCAATATTTCGCTCCACATAACCTCCTACTAATTGTTTACCTCTTTCCATCTACTTTCCCAAAGCATGTGAATTAAATCAGGCTCAATCGAAGAACGGTCTTGAGGTGCAAATGATCGGTGCTCCTGCGTTGCGCTCCTTGACCGGATGTACTCGTCTGAAGGGTGATTTGGTGCTTTCAAACGAATCTTTTTATGTCAGGTATGTTATACTTCTCTGCTCTTATAGTGATAATTTTTATTCCTCCGTGAAACCACCGATAATAAAACTGCCTTGATTATTGAACCGATGGATAAGTGCNTAAGTGCAGATCACAACGATGTGTTCATTGGTGCGGGATAATGAGTGAATCCATGCTGGATGCAGATTGGTTGAGACAAGCAACTAATCACAACATGAACAATCAGCTTGCATAGATGAAAAACCGAAAGATTATAAAATTTCCGCTTTTCGAAAATGGGACAAACATCATTGCTAGCTCTACAGTGTTTGATGGTAAAATTGATTCAGCATATGAAAATTTGTAACTTTCGTTCAGTTCAGCTCGGAATTTAGGAATAGCTACTCAGAAGACATTCCTTAGAAATCAGCTTCTCACTGAAGATTCCCACTGTAACTTTTGCAAAACCAGGAAGAGGTGAATAATCTCGTTTTCGATAACTTCCTCTTCTTGCTAATTTAGTTCTATAAATAGGTAATAGGCATATCACACTTGCGTAACGTTTGATATGTTTGCGGAATTGATTGATACAAATAAATAATTTGTTGATTGTGTGTGATTTTCAAACAAAACTGAGGGCTGGGTTGATGGGAAAAGGGATGATGCTTAGGACCAATTCAGGGTTAACAATTCCTGTTTGGGGCATGGGTTCAATCAAACGGGTCACCTCTAGTCATGGGACTGAATTCAAACCGGGTCCACGGTAGTTCAAGTGGCTTAACAAATCAATTTAGTGAACAAAGCTATGGATAAAACGGGCTGATGGCTACTGCCTCAGTTGTTGCTAAATGCTGTTGACAAAGAGACTTTGATGAATAAGGAGGCATCCGGTAGACCACCTTGAAGGAATCTTCACTCATCGTATGCCCCGTATTGGCGAGATGTTCCACAACGACACTTGAGATGATTTTTCTATCCCCGATAGCGAACCAGGCTGGTTGGTGTCCCTTGATCCTATGGGAAAACTACCTGATGGTTCTACTTGTATGGTTTGGCGAACATGAGCAAACAAATAAGTAGGTAATCACATTACTTAGGTTTTTTACGAAGGCTTATTCGTACGCTTATTTTAATGGGAAAAGCTGAATATTTTCATAAAACAATAGGACATATTCTCCGATTCTTAGCACAATCGTCAATTTTCGTGACGTTTGAATAGGCTAATGACCACTTGATGGTAGGAATGTGGTTCACAGAGTTGTTCACGATTACTCTTTCAGGCCTATAGGTATCTACCGCTGTGATACTGCTTTCATTCGATTCCGTCCAGTCTGTCACCTACAATTACTTGTCAGATACAATGAAGTGAATGAACGTCAACATGTTAGAAACGTACTGAGTGATATGAAATACATGGCAATATCTTTTGTCCTTTTATGTAGAGTTGAAAACCATACACAGATTAAAATACATGCCGGTAGCTTAATGTTGACGAAGAAAAACGAAATTGCTTTATTGTTAGAACATCTTTTTTCATTATGAGAAAGTCACGTATAATTTTGTAATAGAGTAACCTCAAGGCAATTCACACGAATTCACGAATTTTACACCAGCACCGATCACCAATACGCAAGAGCTCTACTAACCCCTCAACCTTAGCAAATAAGAGTGGGATGTCACCAAACTTAGCAGCATTATTAGATAACAAGGAAAAAGACAATAAACACGAAATTAATGATATTGCTGATCAAAACTTTGTGAACTGTAAACTTACATCGAACTTCGAATTGCCCACGACGTCTTTAAAATCTTTAATCATTAAATGTTTTTTAGTGATGAATAGGTCCTGGATAGGAAACAAAAACAAAATGAAAAATAAGATGGTAACCGACTGCATCCCAGAATACACGGAAGAGGGGTGAAATTGGGGAACAGTATAAGTAGTATTGAGACCAGTTCACGCCACATGGTGTTCTTCAAAGTTGAAACGCATAGTAGTTAACTCTTTCGGAAACAGTATCCCAATGAGAATCTTTCAGCAATCGACTACCGCAACTTCGTAGTCATGAGTCAGATCACAATTATAGGTACCTGGATGAGGGGAAACCCCGTGAAATCGTGTCACACATAAATTTCATTCAAATGGCGAACGACCGAACCTTGATGTGTGGCATGGAGACGGTGAATGAATGTGGTTGAAAAATCTATTTATATTTTTTCCCGCTTTCAGTTTTCCCATCTATAGTTCTTTTTCTCATGAACAAGGGAACAGTCGGTACGATTGTGGCCTAAATTCTTTTCTTCCGCCTGTTGGTTCTCCCCCCCCCCCCCCATTACACCCACGTCCTACTTGTCACAAAAGCACCACCGTTCCAGATCACGAGCCTATCAGACATGTGGATCAATTGTGGGCGTTGCATTCACTTCGTGAAGTGACCGGTCACGTGTATATGGATCTGAGCTATTTCGGAGCCAATTTGAAAAATCTCAGCTTTCTGGAAAATTTGGTCAAAGTGAGCGGTGCCTGTAAGTCTCAGGATACAAGACAAAATAGCAAAGTTTTACGAAACAGGATGTTTTTTTGTCATTGGGGTGATTTGAAGATATGTATTATCAAAGTTGTGAAAATATTCCCATGTGTAGTGCTTAGCTAACGGAATATGTATGGACTACGGTCAAACGTTCAATTGATTATCACTTACAAAAGTGATTATCATTCCTCGTGGGTTCGTACGTAAAGGAAAAATAAGAAACGAAGATAGTGAAATAGTAGCTTCATGTGTACTTTTTACTGAACTTGAAGGCCACTTAAGTCCTAGCTCAATTGAGTATGAAGAACCCCCAATAACATTCCTTGTTCAGTCTGTAGTTGAGTTCGGATCACGGAACTCTTTTGAATAGTGTGGCAAAAATAAAACGAGTTATTTAAGGTGTTTGAATCAACCAGAAGTTCATGGGACTGACTGTTCGACTGTTCCGATCCATATTGCATCCCAAGCAATCGCATCACTTCCGCGAAAGCTTAGACACTTGGGAGAGAGAATTTGTTGGACTACGGCCATTTGACCATGTGTCAGTATGTTCGGTTAATACATGAGTCCTCTTAAACCGATACACGATTTAAAATGTCTGAAGCAAGGGTGTTCAGATTACGTGTATCACTTCACTGATTTGACTGACCGCCCAGTTAACTAGAAGTGGGTATTTGAATCAGCCCGGGTCAGTGACTGCAACTCAGAAGTTCTTCTGATTGGACCGAGCAACTGAGTTCGATGTCCATCCAAGCCCAGGGAAATAGTAAGCGCAGGACGGATGCACGGTGAGTAAGAAAGTCAACCCGCTTTATGAAATTTGATGTCTATGGGCGGAGTTGATTAGAATTCAACATTTTTTAACACAACTCGTCACTGACGTCCAAAACGCTGTTCAGTTCAGTTTTGCTTGTATAGATAATGGCACGCAACGTTTCGCCATGGCCCTTGAGGAAAGATTGAGAGATGCTTCACTCACATTTCGGTGTACTGTCTGGTTATTGCAGAACCGTGTCGAGTTGTTTTGTTGCAGCTATTGGGGTAATTTTCTTCGAATCACATATGAAGTTGAATGAAAATCCGTAGTAACAAGAATGGGACATAGAGATTTTTCGCGTAAAACCAACACCAAAATTTAGTAGGCATCATACCGACAATAATGTCGAAGAAACTAAAGGTTGAACCTACCTATAATCAAGCAAATTGTCAAAATGATTACTAACTTTAATTCTAGAAAACAAGAGCTATTAATTAATCATATTCAATTCTTTCTTGCCAGTTAGTTTTAGACAACTTGAGACATCTGTGGCGCCGTCGCGACATCCGATTGTCTGTGAAGAGTGGAGTATATATATATATATATATATAGGCTTGGTGAGAGAGCGATAGCTTCGAGAAACGGCGATAGGGTAGTGAGGTGACCGGGTTGCGACCAAACACTGACAGACAAGTCTTCCGTGGTTCGGGGTTAAATATAAATCTGCAACGCAGAGCACCTAGAATGACATGTGCTATAGATTTTCAACGTTCATTGAGTCCTTTGACGACTGCTGGCATTTAGAATCTACGGCTTTTCTTCTGGTACTGATTTGAAGCGGTGATCCACGTTTCACCGTTGAAGTCCGTTTCTGGCGAGTTTACTGCAGTGTTCATTTAGTGTAGGCATAATCTGGCTTCTTACAGAACGTAAATTGTATCCATATGCATAAATCACTGGGAGCAGCAGTCTGGAATAAATAATTCCTCGTGAGTGCTAACCAATAATTAGTGTGATCAATCTGAGTTAATCCTTGATAAAATTGGGGAAATTTTCATGTATGGTATTGCCAGTGGTGGTATGAGAAAATGGTGCTTGACTGAATCAACCGTGATCTTCACAGAGTAAAAGTGATTTATCCCTTTTGAACGTTCAGTTCGATTAAATTTCACAACTCATCAAAGGATCCCATTATTGCGTTGAAAGCGCCAGTATCAGCTACGATGTTCATTGAAATAAGAGTTTTGAACATTTGAAATTGATTATAGTGCGAGTCACCTTTCATTCAAAATTATTATAAATATATAGAACTCTGTAATGCACTGAGTAACTTACAACACCAACGTTGCTGCTTCCAATTCGTTGCTTTGTCTTTCAGTGGTTATAATCCATTAGTCAAACGGTGTTCTCAGATAAGAGCTCAAATGATGCGAAGCTCGTACAGTGTCTCAAACCTATCATGTTAGTGGCCGATAGAATACTTAAGTTTTGTACATTTGACATGCAATTTTTTCATGTGGTTAACTGGATAAATAAGGCATTTTATAACGGTCGATAAGTGTCTTCATGCAATCACTTGCAAAGTATATCCATCTAGTTTCTTACTAACCAACTCTTTAAAAAGCTCCAAGAGGTCTGTTTCCTTAAACATGAGTCTCCTACTCGAACTAGATCAGCAGCTGTTTAGAGGGGCAATAAAGTGGGCGTTAGATATACGTAGAACATATATGAAATAAAATTTATCTCTTTGAATCATTCTTCGATCGATTCAATACACTAATATACTCCAAATGACTTTTCTGATCAATCAATTGATTTTGGACGTTTCTCTTCTTCCTCGGTCTTTCTCGCTCCCCCCCCCCCTTTGTGCGTGCACGTGCCCCCCCGCCCCCGCCCGGCCCCATCCATCCATCTGCCGCCGGCTTCCATTCTTCTTAGTTCGTTTAACACAAATCAGTGTGATGATCATGAACAGCATGGCGGAACAACCGGGATTGCGCAGTCTCCGAGAGGTACCTCATGGACAAGTAATATTCCACAACAACTCACGAATGTGCTACTTGGACACATTGCCTTGGGTAACGCCAAACGGTGAGACTTTGTCACGTTGAACCCAGTATAAATCAATAAGTTGCTTTTTGCTCTTTAAGCTTGTATTTCATTGCATCCTCATTGTTTCTAGTTTCGTTGCCGATTTGTATGTGTATAGTACAAAGTAGTACTGGTCAGTGCAACATCTTGTTAGTACCGCACCAAACGTCCCGCAGTCTACTCTCAAAGTTAATAATGGTGAAATGATGGTCCGACTCGCTAAATAAGATGTAAAACAAATCTTTGACTCCGGAAATTGAAGCAGGACTAACACTGCATGCGCCAGATTTCCGGAATCCGCTCAACCGGACCTAGGATCAGTACCTATTTTATTATCACGACTAAATCGGGTGGTCGCTGGGGTGTGAAGAATCAGATCATCAGTTGGTCGATAGGAACCCGACCTTATTGCCTTCAAATACTCCAAATGAATTATTTCGGGAGATAGAAAATTTCAATAATCTAACAAAGCTCATCAGTGAGGTTGTACATGAAAATTATAACAAAAAATGAGTTATTATGGCACATGGATCTTTGGTAAGTTATGGGA